CCGGAGTGTGGTTATAAATTAAAACGTCCCCTTTTCTTCGGAAAGAGTAAGTCAATATCTAATATCACAAAGCTTACCCCCAGTCTCTTTTCTCTTTCACGTTGGAACATAATGCTTCTATTGGTGTGAAAATGCACCAGCACGCGCTGAAGTATAATTAAAGGTACATTTCCACTGGGCTGGCATGAGGACGCTGTAGCCACTTCAGGGGCTGAAACATAACAACAAGTCAGCTAGGTGAGGCTACCCACGAGCAATACACTATGCACTCAAATGCTTTTGACTTGGCACCACGTGGCTCTCACAGCCAGTCTATTTGTGAACTTGAGAGAATAAAATAAGCAAACTGTGCTGGAGAAACATCCACGGTTATTTATATTTATATCTATATACGCCTATATAGAGAGATATGAATAAGAGGAGATACGCTTTTCTAGAACAAATCTTGGCTCCTAATGAAAATGAACACGGGGCTCTGAGGATCAGCCTGTGCTGCTCCCCACCTTCCTCTGAGCATCTGGACCCGCGTTCTGCTCTCTGCACCTGAAAACGATACATTTCCAAGTTTTCCTTCAACATCGTATATATCTACAAGTCTATCCAGGAATGAAGAAATCTACAAATGAATGTTGGCTACTTTTTTAGATGTCCATGAAGATTATTTGGAAATAATGGGATTTGAATTCACTGGTTCATCACTAAGAGAGAGCATAAAATCTGTCGTTCTCTGATAGCTAGCAGTAGTTTCAAGGCAAAATGCCTTTTTATATATGAATTCTTCTATCTACCTTTCTCTCCCTCTACCTCTCCTAAAAAAAAAACTGTCTGAAAAGCAAGCTATTAGAGTAGAATTAGCTGTGATTAAGCTTAATGTTTTCTCTGAACTATTTTTCTTAACTTCAGAGACAATACTGATTTCTAGCAATTGACTTGGTGTTGTGGAACAAGGTAATCCATACTCGAATCGATTAATTTTTAGCCTGTTTCAGGCACGGGACATCTTAAAGATTCCAAACTACTTTTTCTTTTTCTCAATAAGCAACTAAAACATAAAAAGGGGTATTACAAGCTAGGCTTTTCTTTCTGCATGCGATGAAAAAGTAACCTCATGAAGCACGCGACCACTGAACTTTTAAAACTGGAATTACGTCGTTCTTTAAAACATTAATGTGCTAACTAACTACGTTTTCAAATGGTCATCAAATTAAGCCAAGAGACCTTCTCATTGCTTAGGAGAGACAGCATGGTGAGCAGTTTCAGGAAAATGCATTTACTGAGACCGAACGGGTCACAAAAAGCGAAGAAAAAGTCTCCTCCTTGTGCTGTGGTCCGAATGTCTGTGTCCCTACATCCATACACACTTGGCCCTTGAGCAGCACAGGGGCTCCAGGTACCAGTCCCCCCAGTGCAATAAAACATGCAGCCCAGATAACTTTTATTCCCCGCAAAACGGAACTACTAAGAGCCTACTGTTGACTAGAAGCCTTACTGATAAAAACACACATTTGACTCACACATATTTGGTCTACTATATGTATTATATGCTGTCTTCTTGCAATGAAGTAAGCGAGAGAAAAGAAACTGTTATTTTAAACAATCATAAGGAATAGAAAAGTGCATTTACATTATTTATTGGGGAAAAAATCCATGCTGTTCAAGGTCAACTGCACTGGTACACTAAGGGCCAGTGGGTGGTGTTCGGAGGGGGCCTCGGGAGGCCGTCAGGTCACGGGGGTGGAGCTCTCACCAAGGGTGCACAAGAGACACCACAGAGGTCCCTAGAACCCTCCCCCCAGGTGAGGACACAGGCCCAAGCCCCTGGTTTACAACCTGGAACACAGCCGTCACCGGAATCTGACCGTCCCACTGCCGTGAACTTGGTCTCTCAGCCTCCTGGATTATGAGAGATACACGCCTCTCTGGTTTGGCATTTTACTACGGCGGCCCCAGACAACCGAGGCACCTTCCCTTAACACACCCGGATGGAACTCTGAGGCTCACACAGCAAACATCAAAACAAGATGACAAAAAGATCCTCTTTGGAGGGAGAAACACAAACGAAGACCGTGTTTGCTGAACGCAGGTTCCCAGTGCAGGGCGGATGCTGAAAAGTCGCTCTAACACCGAAGCAGTGTCTGCATAAACAAAGCGCGGAGGTCTGAGCACCTCAGCCTGGCCCGCCCCGGGTTGATTTAGGAGGGGCAGACGCTGGCTGGTTTTGCCGAAAGGCTTTGTTTACACGGATAGAACTTGATTTCTTTTCCAATAGGTGAAAAAGGTCATTAATAGAATTAACTTTCCTTCCACTAAATAAATGCCGAATCACGTTTTAGGACCTTATTAATATGGGCAGACCACAGCTTTAGATTATCATTCCACACGTCTGTTTGTGAGCTAGTAGCATCAAATTGAGGCCTTTTACTAGAAAAATCTTATTTCAACTGGTAGGTAGGTAGGGTTTTACTTTTTTGTTTGTTTGTTTGTTTGGCTATACATCAGATAGTAATACACATGTAATACTTTCTTACTACTATTATAATTTGTTCCTGAAAGATTTAGTTTTCCAACATAAAGTGATGAAGCAAATGCCCCCAGGGAACTAGAACTTTAAAAAAATTCCAACTCCAATGGAGAAGGCAAATCTGTAGGTCAGTATTTGCCAAACTGTGGGTCACAACTTGTTTTTAGGTCATGAAATCATTTAGTGGACAATGGCAATTGTTTAATGGAAAAAAGAAAAGAAAACATCCGAGTTAGTAGAGTACATCTAAAGTCAATTTCTTTGTCTAAATTAATTATTTTCTCATTGTGGCTACTTACACTAAGTTGCTTTTATATTTAATTGAACTTGGTACAATGAATTAAAATACAGATGAAAATGATCTTCTATGGACTCTATTTGTAGGGTGAATGTAGTTGTCACACAGGATTCCCTTGTTTTCTCTTTCCTTTAATGTTGAATAAACATAGTTTAAATGAGTATAGGAGATACCTTTTTACAAAGTTTGTGTATCTACTTACCTACTAAAATTTCTCAAACTTGCAAGTGGTGTCTGATGAGATCTTAGTTTCCACTACATGTATAAGGAAAAAACAGGAACTACTTGAAACATTAGGGTATTCTCATTATAATAAATGAGCAAGACTACAGAAATATATTTGGTATCAGTTTCCCTTAATTTGCACGGATTCTTGGCGACTAAATTGACACAAATTTCTGGAGTCCAATTTTATCACACTAGAGAAACTGTGTGAAACTAATCTATTAAGGTAGATTAGTTGGTAAATACTGGATTTCTTCAGTTTTTATTTTTGAATAAACGCAGTTTAAATTAGAGGAGAGTACCTTGGAACCCTAGATTAGACCCAGTTCGATTAGTGTTTCCTGACCACTGTGTTTCAGAACCCGCTCTCTCCATCACAGCGGTTCCAGAAAGCCGGGTTTGTTAAGAGCGCGGCAGGAGGGAGGCCTCGGTGCCCGTTTTTATTGTTCAATCGCTGGGAAAGGATCACTAATCATAAGAGAACGTGGTGAGTTTTCCGACTGCGGTAAATATTCATATGTGTCTTTGTTGAACGTGGTATTCCGATCTCTCCAGATATTTTCTATTTGCTCTAAATCTCCCCAAGCAAATTTGTACTGGGAAGTCGTGATAAAATACGGCTGATCAATCATTTTGACTCCGAACATTCAGGGAGAAAGCAAAACCAACAAAGCAAACACAGAAAAAGGGAAATAGCTAGAGAGTCCACAACAGCTTTGAGTTCAGGAGCGCCTCTCAGTGCATGGCTCCTGCATCTCCCTTGAGTTTTTTCAGTAACAGCCCACACAGACAGGCCGTACGGAAACACAAACCCGGTTTACAGAAAGCACACGTATCTGTCAGCACGAGATATTCTGGTAGAGGACCACTGTGCTGAACTGGACAGACACTCCCAAAAACACGTCTTCTGTTGCCCGTGCCGTGCTACATGCCCGAGACAGACCGGGCGCCGCCGCTGCCCTCCAAGAGCTGCCACCACGGAGGGGAAGTGACATGAACACAAATAATGAGGTGGGTGAGGGGCAGGGGCAAGGGAACACATGGGGTGGTGTCACCAGGGAACAAACCGGGAATGCTTCGACTCGGCCAGAGGTCACGCAGCCGAGCACTTGGGCATGACCTTCCTCTCTGTGTTTCCTACATCTGTACGAGGCGCTCACAAACATTAGTTCTGTCTGTCTTCTGAGTAGTCCTCCCTACAATAAACACAGTGACAGCAAGAGACACCTAGAGAAATGGTGTGAAACTTTTGCCGCTTATCAGTCCCACATCATGTCGAATTTTTCTTTCAGAACGTCTCACTTGGCAGTTCAACTTTCTTTGTACCACATTACTCAAAGAATATTCCGAGGCTGCTAAGTCCTCAGATAACGTTTCCAAGGCCTCCTTTTATCATACCACTATGGTGTCAAGTTTAAAAATCACCCTACTCAATTGATACATACATCTTGTCCTCATCTTCGTTTGCTTTTTTTCCTGGAAATCTGTATACGCTTAGCAAAATCACTTTGAAGTTTTGATTCATGCAGTTCAATAGACCTTCGAAGCCATAATCAAATTACTATCATCCTATTACTGATAGTAAAAGATATTTGGATGTCCATGAAGTCAAAAGACACCAGATACTATTATGTCAATACAATAAAAACATGCTTTTCTTTTAAAAGCAAAATACCCACTGAAAGGAATACCGATTTCTGTACTGAATTTAGATGAAGCAGAAGACCTTGGTGCCCTGAGACAGTCTCAACCAACTTCTCCCCTCGCCCCCCCCACCCCACCCCACCCTCTAAATAAGTTCCAAGCTTCCCCCGTTTTATCGGCACTCAGGGCAACCAAGAACGAACCTCGAAAGGAAGTGTCCAGCCGGACCCGCCGGCGAGTAACGCCGCCCCAGCAGCACGAAACAAACACAGCGCACGGACATCGCCCCGGTGCCAGAGCGGTGCCACTGACCTGAGGAGATGTCTATCTGGCTCATCTTGGTCTGCGTGACGTTGATGTGGACGCCGACTCTGCTCTCGGTGAGGTCGATCTCCACGTCGCCCAAGCTGTCTGCGAAGCGGCTGAAGAGCAGGAGGCCATTGGGGTTCCACGTGCGGAACTGGAAGCTGACCGCGAACAGGTCCTGGTGGGGCCGCCCGGCCACCTCCAGGTAGCTGGTGGCGTTGAAAAAGACGGGCACCGTGGAGGGCTCCACGCACGAGAAGCTCAAGTTTCCCTGGGAAACAAACACAAGGGCCTTCCTTGAGGAAAACGCGGAGTGGAACAAGCATGCAGGGCAGACGGCAGGCAGGGCTACGGCTCTGCAGACTGCAAAGCAGGGCTTCGCCTGGCCCGAGCTCCCACGCGCAGCAGTGTGACGAGAAGTCAGCGGGGGGATCCCGTGGCCGGAATCTACTTGGACTGTGTACCTAGAAGGCTGCGGAGTTTGGCCATCAAGTTGGGGGGGGTGGTTAGAGCCCAGTTCATCATGAAACTGACAGACTGGCAGTCTCTGTGACAGGCTGACCAGGGGACAGGCTGACCAGGGGACGGGCCGTGCAGCTCTGAGAGCTGGAGCGTGGACCGCTGGGCTTTCTGAAGACGGCGGCCGAGAGAGGCTGCTCGCCTCCCCTTGCCAATGATGCGTGTTCCAGGGAGGAGGCGTCACTGCCTTCCTCTGGGTGTCCCAGTCAAATGTGTGTTGATATATATACTGCTCTGGTCTCCGTGGGGACCATGGTCATGTGGTTGCTATTTAATAAACTGATATCATGGGGCAGATAATCCTGGGTTTTATACCCACACCTATTTATAAATATTAACTATTCAGCATCAGCCTGACTGTGATTATTTCAGATTATTTTGTTAGTCAACTCAAAACGCCATTTAAATTTTCACGAACTATGCTTAAATCATCATGAATTAATGTTCACGGAAACTCTGTTTAGTCACCAGGGGGCCAGACCCTAGGCTCGAATGTGGGGTGAGGAGATCATCGGAGCTGCTGCACACACAGCGCCTGCTGCCAGGCGCCGTCAGGTGTGTGGGTCTCTGGGATGCCAGACTCGCCCAGAGAACATTCTGGGGTGACGTGGCTGCTGCTAGGGGAACACACATACTGGATTTTTACTTTAAATCCTCACCAAGGACATGTTTATTGATTTGAGAGAGAGAGGGGAGGGGGAGAGAGGGAGAGAGAGGAGGGAGAGGGAGAGAGAGAGAGAGAGAGAAAGAGAGAGAGAGAGAAACACCCATTGTTTGCCTCTCATATGTGCCCTGATCTGGGATTGAACCCGAAACCTCTGTATGTGCCCTGAGCGGAGATCAAACCTGTAACCTTTTGGTGTATGGGACAATGCTCCAGCCACCTAAGCTACTTTGCTAGGGCACACAGACTAGATTTTTAGGTTGATATTTTTTAATAGTCCTGAGCAAAGGCACAAGGAGACAGGCATGCCAGAGTGTCCTTTGATTTTCGATCTCTTCCTCGAAACAGGGAAACCTGGAAGCTACTGGCACCGGAGCCAGAAGAACAGAGCGGGCTGCTAGGTCACAGCGTTCCCCAGCCTGTGGTGGCCAATTCTTACTTAATCATATTGTGTTTGGTATGTTCAGAATCATGACAAAGAGTGAATTTATTATATACTTGGATGCATTATCTCTGGAAACATGGAAGCAACTATAATAAAGCTCCTGGTGTTTACACTTTTCCAATAGTGAATCCCACCATAAACAAGACACGTGGGCCATGTGTGATGGGACATTTGGAACCAGGACGGTGACAATTTAAGTTCAGCACCTCCCTTACAGAAGGACACCTGTCCTTCTGAAAGAAGGGATCCAGGACACCCGGGCTAAAATGCTGTGCCCCTTCTGAATGAAACTCACCGTCTAGTTCAGGCCAAGTCAACCCAAGCACTGGGGGTGATTCTCAGAGTACGGCCAGTACCAGCACATCCAGTAACTCTACAGCCAGTTCTACACGGTTGGGGCCCGTCCCAGCATGAGGGGAAATGCTAGGACGTTGTTGTACAGCAGGGCACAGGGCATGGACATTCTGTGACGTTCCTGTGAGCCAACGCTTCGGGGGTCAAAAGTCTTACCACGTTGGAGGGCTCCAGCTTCTTCCTCCTCGCGAGGTCCGTTATGTTGATGCCGTTGTAGTTAATGCTCTCCATGCAGCCTTTGAAATTCTTCCGAATGCTGGAGCTCGGCTTCCCGGAGAAAGGTATGCCTCCAAAGGTGATCTGTGAGGAAAACACACATCAACACTCACGCTGTGTGCGACTGTAAAAAAAATAACATTCACAGTAAACTAGACAAAACGATTAACATAGGTAAGGTCCGTTATCTTTACATCAACCAATATACAGGGTCCAGCACAGATAATGCCCCTTTTTTTATAACAAAATCTTTTATTATGAAATCATAAGCACACAATTCCATAACACAACAATATCACACTCAAGCACACCACGTGACATTTTAGGTGAAATGTTCAAATTAAAACCATACATGATCACACCCCTATTATTACTGCCCTACCAACCACTCTCAAGCAGGCCTGCCTTCTGCTGGACCCTGAATACACGTTTTCCGGTCTCCAAAATCTGCTGCATATCAATTTATGTCATTATTGAGCTGAATAATAGGATCATTAATTCTGGCAATTAGATTATAACTTGAACAAGAGAACTGCAACAATCCCTGGTGTTTTTGCTACCCAAAAGGCAATTTATAAATTTTCCTGAGAATGTTTCAAAACATTTCCCACAGCGAACATATTTGATTAAGTAATATTAAAAATAATTTTTATGTTTATTCCTCAAAGACATACTATCAATAAATGCTTCTAGTCATCAGGAGATGACCATTACTAATATATAAGTTGATAGAAGTACAGCCAAAAGCAAGGAATATTGTATTTTCCTGGCACATGCTAGCCAGACTTACTACAGTCTAATGAGCATTAAAGTAAAAAATTCATTAGATTTACGGTGAACACAGACAACAGTTCATTTAGTCTCATTACTATATTGATCAGGAACATCTTAAAAGTTGGTGGCTGGAACTTGAGAAGTACAGGTTTAAAGATGTTATAGGTCTTCTAAATTCTAAGGAGTAAGGTTAATATCTCTTCCTGTGACTCTCCAGCTACTATTGCCTGTAAAAAGAGTACTTTTCCATACATTTTTGGTCAAATTACAGTATTGTAATACCATGTTTATATAATACAAAATTATACTTCTTCATGCATTGCCAATTATGACATTTACTGTTAATAATGAAAAAGTAGTATGTGGTTCTACTAATCAGAGCTGTAATATCAAGATATATAATCTAGATGCTATGTGTGTTTACCATTATCATTCAATGCTACCGTTATGAATTTTTCTTAGAAAGCTTTGAAAATGAAAGCACTAGTTAAGGCAGTTTTAAATGTCAAGACTACATATTTGATACATCGGGCAAAGATCTTTTAGTTCTAGAAGGCCGTTAGATGATCATGTTCTATTACACAGCATCCTGGCATTTTACATGCCTAATTCGATTTAGGGGGAAGAAAAGCAGAAATTAATGATGGTTCATGAGATAATATAGAAAAAAAGACATCACTTAATAAAATAAAAAAAAATAATGGTTAGTTATATATCATTTACCAGAAAGTTTATGTGTAGGAAGAAAAGGGGGAAACTGAGAATGTATTTAAAAATTAGAAAACCGTAAAAGAAAAAAATAGAGAATAACCAAAATAATAGAATGATTGAAGAAATATTTTCCAGTGGCACTGAACTGACCTTCTGAGGGAGCTATAGGTGTACCTAATACCACAGGTAAGAACTGCTGATACTTGGAGTGTTGAGTTTCTTATCCACGACTTATTTGATCAGTTTCCGCCCCAGTTGACAGTGATAAAATCTTCTATCCCTAATGACGTGCAGCACCACGTTTTGAATTATGTAACTGAATCCTAGTTGAACACGCTTGCTTTACTCCTTTTCTGTGTGCGAGGTTTACCGAGGGGGTCTTCCTTTTCCTTTGTGGGGGATGGCTCAGACATGCCTCTGTGTCTCTGCTGTCAGCAGCCGGTGGCGCATGCCCTGCCTCATGGGAGGTGCCCTGGTGAGGAATCACGGCCTCAGTTTGCCAGACTGTTCACCTCTAAGAGACGTGGGTTCAAATCCCAATTCCTAACACAACTAATTGTGTGTTAATGCAACGAATCACTTCTTTCTCATTGTGTATTCTCACCAGTAAAATAAAGTGGCTGGACCACAAAGTATTTTCTAATGTTGTAATTATTCTGATAGTAAAAATTGCTGCAATTAATTCTTAAACATCAGATAGTCATATGACTCAAATGACCTACTTATCACGGGTACTGCCATTCAATGATAGCCGTGACTTTGAAAACTAACTGCATTCACCGTCTTGTTAACTACCATGGGTTTATAAAGCATGGCAGACAACGAGATATCTCTAAGCATCCTTCCTCCCCACCTTCTTTAGGGAAAAACTTTGCCTTTCAGATCCACACATTGCTCCCTAGACAACGTATGGTGTTTACCAAGCTCTCTGAAGCGAGCTGTGGTCTCAGGAGGGTTGAGTGAAAGGGCGGGGTGTGGCCCCAAGGGCTAGAATTGAAACGGCCTTCCTCCGCCCTCTCTCCTTCCCACTGGCTGGCATGCCACAGGGGCATGAGGAGCTAAGCCACAGGGATTCGCAGTGGGGAGGGAGGGGCAGCAAGAGAACAGCGGGTGGGGGACTGGTGACCGGGGTGCTGCCATCTGAGCCCAGGGCTATCTGCTTAGGGGCTCCTTTTACATGAAAGAGAATAAACAGAATTGCAGCTGACATATTCGGTGGCTTCTATGCCTTCCTGTGGCCTCCTCACATAGCCCTACAATAAACATGCTATTACATTCATTTCATAGGCAAGGGATAAGACTTTTCCACTGTTGCACCCCTGATGGAGGTCAAAAGGCGATTCAAACCAGGCTTTTCACTCCAGTTTGAGCCCACGCAATGGACTCCCCCACACTCCTAGGCAGGTCCTTGAGTGGACCAGGGGGAGCCATCTGCTCCTTTCCAAGAAGAGATGTATTATGGGTACAAAGGCAAGGGCCTAACACCCCACGTGGTATATATATCCTGGGATTTAACTAAGGGAGAATGAGAAGCCAGGCCACGTGCCAGACTGCTGTCCTGCCCTCTGACACCACGGGCTGACAGGAGGAAGGAGGAAGACGGGTGAATCCACCTATGTGTCCCGTACCCTCTCCCCTTGCACCTGGCAGCCTGACTGCGAATGGTGACCGGCTTTCTCTGCGGTGTAACGGGGCCACGGAGAGGGGAGGGAGGTGAACTCTTAAGCACAGTCTCCCGCAAAAAAAAAAAAAGATTCCCACACAGAGTCACATCAAAGGAGCCCCCTGATTTCTACTGTTTCTCCCCTGATGCGCATCTCTGGGAGGGTGAGGGGTGAGGTGTAAGTCACCGCTGAAGGCAGTGCACTGAGCCCTGCTCGTACTGGCCCACGGGCACGACTAGTTAACCCGGCCATTGCTGCAAGTTAAGTGGTGTAAGCTTTAAATGGAATAGATAACATTAAACAAAAAAATACCACTCAGAACTCATCTCTGCATTTTCCTATCGTGCATGCTCCCGAAGTTATTTATAGTTATTACATCTATATGACAGAAATACTGCATAGTGGTGCGGTATAACATATGTATTTGCTCTTTGGCCCCCATTCCTGGCATAAGGCTCCTAAAACCCTTGAAATTTCCTGAGTGACAGGAGTGTGTCTGTTATTTATAAGAAGCTCTTTTCGAGGTGTGAGTCTAGTTACTGTGTGGATGAGTCAAGGAGACGTGCGCGAACACGCCGAGACTGACTCTAGTGCAGAACTCTCATCTTCTTCAAACAAATAAGCAAACAGAACCCCTGTACATTGAGATAAACATGTAGAAACCCGAAGGTAGGGCAACCACTTTGACTGTAGCTCCTGACAGTAACGGCAGTATCTGAGAGGACAGTGATCAGCAGCTCTACAAACAGAAGTAAGGTGAGTCTGTGCTGAGTCTGTCTTAGTAAATTTCAACGTCTTCCCAGAGTCTCTAGCAAATACGTCCTGGCACTCTAGTCCACAGATGAGGATCTCAGACCCCGTGCTATATGTTGGTGGGCTTCAAAGTGTCCCCCAAATGCCAGGATCCAGACCCTGTCTGGAAAGCATTGTGTGTGTGTGAATATTCATAGATTCCATCATGGACTCAAATGGGGCTGTGACTGCCAATGTTTCTATGACCCCACATTTTAAATTTTGTTCTTTTAAAAATTGGAATTGTGTGTATTACTGCTTGTGTTCTAGGATTTCTCATCTCTTCTACAACACTTCAAAGTTTATTGATGGGGAACAAATTACTCATCTTTACATTCTCTCAGAAAGTGGGAGCTAAGTCACATCAGCCAGGAAGTGCACAAATTTAGAGAAGATAAAATTATTGGGTATTTTTCACATTATTTTCCTTTTAACAATAATTTTTGCTTTAAAGAGTTTTTTTTTTTGGAGAGGCCATTATTTCCTGAATATGTTTCATTTATTTTAACATTAATGAAGTCTTTAAGCAGGGTTTATATAGCATTTTCTATTTTGTGTTCTTATTTAGAAATATATATAATATGCTAATAGTGTAGGGAATTTAGAAACCACTTAAACATATAAGAAAATAGAAAACACAGGTGTAAATTCTGGCTTTTTCACTTATTATTTTATGGTGAATAAAGTCCACACTTTTAAAAATTTATATAGATAGGTAGATAAAACACACATATATGCATATGTGTGTATCTGACATTTTAAAACTGGGGCCAAGGCAAGCTGTGGGGACATAGCAAACTCGTCAGGGTCCTTCAATATGCTTCACATCCTAAACAGGAACAGCGATACTTGGTATCATTGAGACAAACTGTGTTAGACAGTGGCCAGAGCTGGTCCACCGTTCCAACATCCTGCTTCATCGCTTCTGCTGAGGCCCGCCCTGGTGAAGCTGGGATGCTGGTTGTCGCGCAGGTAGAAGCAGCGGCCCGTGAACATGACAGCAGAACGGAAAACGAGGACGGCTGCACCCACTCTGATTCCAAAGCCCGAGAAGTGGTCCAGCGCAGGCGCACACACCCATTGGGACGTAATTGTTATTGCAACGGTAAAGTGAAAGTATGGTTTGTTCTTTCAGTGCGTGTGCATTTTCCTTTTTCAAATGGCTTCCAAGTTCTTAGGGCATACACGTTTAAGTTGTTGGATTCTAACTACTACAGAGGGGTCTAGGGCAGCTGTGGAAAATTAACAAGACTCCAAGGGTCCCATGAATTCGGAAAGTTTGGAAACCTCTGGCTGATGAATATTTCATCCTGTTTGTTTTATGGTTGTGCCCTGCTTGTTCATTTAGCATTATCCCCTTTATCTTAGTACACATTACGCTGATAGATGTGTTCTCACAGAACTCACTCCTGTGTATGATGAACATTTTTGAATGGAGAGTTAATGTTGAACTGCTCTGCAAATAACTTATTTAAAAACCCGATATGCCTATCAGTATGTTATGAGAATGTATCATTTTTACTGCACCATGATCATTGATTTTTTAAAATGTTTGATCATTTGGAAGGGAAAAATATCCTTTTTTTATGTATGAATTCTTTAAATTAGCCTAAATTTTAATTTCTTTAGTGGCAATTATATCTGAGAAAATAGAATTTATCAAAAGAACTACTAACAGTCAAGTTTATAAATGGCCTAATATAAATCAGAACTCACGATTCCTTATTTAATATTTTGTAATAAACATCAGGCAACCCTTTGTATATAATACTGTATACTGTCAAGTAAAACAGGTAATTTATATTCTAATTAATGACCAACAGAAAGATTATAACTTAAATGTATTCAGGACTTGTTAAACGATCCTGAAAAGGTGATAGACGGACCCTTCTCTCCACATTCTTACTTTGGTGCCAACCTTTAAAAATATTTTAAGTATTTATTATTACAATGTTAGAAATGAATAAAATGACATATATTCATAAAGTGGGTTTTGAAGTTGTCGGTTAATTTCTCTTCGGAGGGTGAGATGAAAACCGGGCAGGGAGGCACTAGTTCTCAGCCCCCCCCACGCCGCCCCCCTGCCCCCCTCCCCCACGTGGGCGCGGAGGCAGCCCCAGAGGTGCCCCCACTCCCGCGCCCCGGCTCACCTCGTAGTCCAGGTCCAGGTAGTCGAACTCCCCGTTGGTGCGGAAGTGCTGCACGCTCCTGTCCAGGGTGAGGTCGATGCTCCGGCCCTGGCGCTCGATGACCACGGAGTGCCAGTGGTGGTCGTCCAGCAGGCTTCCCGTCGTCACGGACGTGTGGCCGTAGATGGGGCCGAGCTGGTTGCTCCCTGGGTCACGGGGTGGGAGAGAAACAAGGCGATGAGGCTGCGGCTCGGGGCGGCGGCAGACCTGTGGTTCCACACTAGGGGTGGATGCTTTGTCTGCTGAAGCCGCTGTAGGAAAACCAGCCTGGGACTATTCTTCAAAACAGTTTTATGTTCAACATACGTAAAAGCTAGTAAAGATGAAAAAGTCTGTTTCCTTAAAAATAATGAGCTTTTAAAAAGTATTAGGTTTCTTAAATTTTTTTATGTATTGATTTGAGAGAGAGAGAGAAACAGATTTGTTGTTCCACTTATGCATTCATTGGGTGCTCCCTGTATGTGTCGTGACTAGGGATCGAACCCACAACCTTGGCATATTGGGACTATGCTCCAAACACCTGAGCTACCTGCCTGGGCCTGGGTTCCTTTTAAAGTTAGTGTCCTGCGAGTTCTGGCACCAGAGGGCCTGGATTCTGATGCTCTGTAGTTCTGGACAAGTTGACAACTTCTCTGGGCCTCTGTTTCTTCAGATGTAGAAAAGGGAAAAGAGTATAGTTGCTTTATAAGGCTGCCGTGGGCATCCCATTGCTGAGTACGTGCAAAGAACTTAGCACACTTTCTGGCACATAGCGAACGCTCATGAAATGGTACCTGTTAACAACCTTTCATTATTGAGGTTGGTGTTGTTCTTTTAAAATACAGCATGCCAACTTTCCAGTTTTCTCTGTCTCCAAATGCCATAATCTTAAGCACCATGTAATATTTAATGACACGAAAAATTTACACTAGTTACCCCTACAATAAAAACCTGCAGTATGATAAGTGAAGTAAGCCAGTCAGAAAAAGATGAGGGCCATACGATCTCACGTACAGGTGGGATCTAATGAACAAAATAGAGAAAGTGGAGACCGACCCATGGATACTGAGAACAGACTGAGGGCTGTCAGAGGGGAGGGTTGGGGGGCTTGGGGAGAAGGGAGAAGGGATTAAGACAGGGGCAACAGTATGGTGATTGCAAAGAGGGAAAGGGAAGTGGGGAGGAAGAAGAGGAACAGTGGGGTAAGTGGTGGTGGGAGGAGACTTGACTTGGGGAGATGAACATACAATACGCTGATGATGCATTGCAGAATTGTGTACCTGAAACCTATATAACTTTATTAACCAACGTCATCCCAATACTTTTTTTTAAGTAACAAAGAAAAACAACATCTGCCATTGGTACACACAGCCTCGCGGAGCAAGGTGAGCTCACTTGGCTTTCTGTGGCACGTGCATTACACAATGGCCGTTTTCTTCTGCACGTGATCAAAAGTGTTTACATTATGAAAAGGAGCTGTGCCCGTTGCTAAGTGGCAATGGATAAATTTCGAATGAAACACTATTATTTTGGTTGAGATTAAAAATAGTTCTATAGGGAACGGTCAATCACTAATAGTGGAAGAATCTGAGAATAGAGCTTTTCTGGAAAAGTATCTATGGCATTAATCTAGTTTTGAAATAACATCTCCATTGTAATAAGGCTATAAATAAGACTGAAAGGCTGTAAGAATCCAAAACGTTTACCAAGATCATCTCTGGAAGCTGTTTATATAGTTTATACCATTTTCTATTTTGTCTAATGAAAGACTGCTTTTTATGGTCAGGCAAAACTAAATGTTATAAAAATATAATATCGTTTCAGAATAAATAGCATAATAGAAATAACAGAAACACAGGACTGCCTGAGAAATTAAATTAGTTCCTTTTTCTCACATTTCAGATGCCCATGATGCCTATGCTGGATTTTTTTCAGGGATTTCCTAGGTCAAATTTTCTTTCTTCTGGAGATGGAATGGAATGTGGTGACTGTGTATTGAGATGGAAGAGGGAAGGAGAAGAGAAGGAAGAAATCGAAGTGAAAGGCTACTTTCGGTTCTATTTAGGTATTCAGGTTGGAAGACGGAGCAGCAGCCAGCCGTGTGTGACGTCTGGGCAACGGCGTCGAGGAGTGACCGCGAGTGGACGAGGGGCTGGGTGTGCACGGCTGTCATAAACCCCAGTCAGTCAGTGAAGGTCTGTATATAAACGCTTTCCAGAGAAATGGAACCGTTTTTGTGTTGTTTTTTTTTTGCCACCTCATATGATCAGTGGCTTGTCTCAGAAGAGTAATGGAACGTCTCACTTTTGTGAGAGCACAGTGCCTCCATATGCTTCTGTTTTCTTAGAAAAAGGAGAAAGGTTTGAGAAAATAAACTCTGGAAGATAGAACCCACTTGCTGTGTATGTGTATTTTTAACAATGACTTACATTGTCATTTCCTTAGTTTCTCTCCCTCAGTCCTCCTTTATAACTTCAATTTTTTCCCATTAAATTTATTGGGTTCATAAAATTATATAGGTTTCAAGTGTATAGTTCCATGATACCTCATTTGCATATCATCTCTTAACTTTCTATGGGATCTACTTTCAAAAATTATTTAGAGCTAATTTCCTCCCACGTAACCCATGAATGCATGTCCAATATTAAGATTAGAGAATATGATAAGGAATTAACATGTAAAACATTATCACTTATTTCCATCAGTGAAGAGCGAGGTGTATGTCCTTCCTGATTTTTTAATTTTTTTCATGTTACATACATGTTATTCCGAGAGTAAATCACCAGGAGCCTCCATGCTGCCAAATGGTCACCTCCCTTTTCCGTCTTCTTAGTGACATTTTAGGTGAATTCAACACAGCGCCCCACCTCTGTACCTTATTTCCTCCTATTCGCTGTCCACTTCTCAGTGTCCACTTAGCACCCTCCCCTCGCGGTCTCATGCACACCACTCATCTCAACTCTGACTCATCAGCAGCCAAAACGTGCCCTGTCCAAACGGGGCTATATTAGAAGACGCTCTGCAGATAAAACAGGGCTTCCTGTACTTCTGAAGATGGCACTAATGCCCAGTGGAGCCTAAGCCACACCCGGGGAAGTATCCTGTATTTATACTCTTCCTCTCTTGCTAAATACTGAACTCATTACAAGTCATGCCGAAGTGCCACTCAAGACATCTCCACGGTGGACCCGCGCCTCTGTGTCTCCACCATCTGCAAGGGAGTGTCAGCTCATCTTGTGCCTTGAAGAATTCATCTTCGAGTCTCAGGCTGGTGGAAGCACTTTCTCTTGTAGGAGTCTCGGCAAATTCCCATTCTTTAAAAAGTAACACCTAACCCCTGTACCGTGCTTGACAGGATCTTACAGGGTTCGAACAATCCCTAACTTTTGGATTTCGTCTCCGCTCCCACTTACTCCAAACGTGCACACCTGCTTCCCTGCTGTGCTGTGAAATGCTCTTCCCCCCGACATGCTCCTGGCTAGTTTTTGTCATCGGCCGCACCTTGAACATCTTCTCGTAGAAGACTTTTCTCAGTCTCCATTCTCATGTTGACCCCCCTTGCCTCCGCAGTGTTGAACTGGTCCATCGAATTGAGCTCGTGTTAAGGCTGACCCTCAAACAACCCAAGTGCGAACAGTGTGGGTTCACTTACGCAAAGGTTTTATTTAATAACTGCAGTCAGCTCTTTGCATGCATGGGCTTCTCGCACTCCCAGCCTCGGATTCCCAACGTCAAATGGGAAATACTGTTTTTGATCCATGGCTAGTTGAGTCCATGGACACAAAGGGTGCACTGGAGAATCAAAAGTGGCATGGAATTTCAGCCGCGGAAGGGAGGGCTCGGTACCCCTATCACCCGTGTTGTGCAAAGGTCAACAACTGTACTTGTCATTTCTTTTGATTTCGTTGTTTGAAAATGTAACAGACAATCCCCTGTCTGACCCCTGCACCAGGTGATAAACTCGGTGAGCTCAGCGTCCTCCTGCTTTTTCACCACTGCATCCCAGATGCAGTGTACACCCTGCACAGCACAGGTGCTCCATCAGTACTTTTTGGATGAATGAGTACATCAAAGTGCCAATACATACCAACTACTAGGGGTCAAAAGTGAATGGATAACAACGTGGACTGTTTTAATCCCTTACATTTTTGGGGTTAAACAGCATTAGCATTTCACTAGTGGCGATGTTCGTAAGTGGAAAGAACAATGCCAGAAGTCGGGACATACCCAGGTTCAGACTGAAGACCAGCTTGGCCTTCCTCAGCTCCAGAGTGATGTAGTCCCCTTGCTGGCCTTCCCCGTGCAAGATCACCCCTTCGCTCTCGGTGGTTTTAAATTTCAAGGCGATGACATCTTTCAGCGTTTTCATCTTCTTGTTTCGGAATCTGTACGGCAACACGACGTGGCCATCAAAGTTGATAACATCAGCCCCTAAAATGAGAACAAAATAACATTACAGTTCAGTTGTGGCGTGTTATCATCCAGTGTGAAGTACATCTATTTCCAACCAGGGTCTGCACAGAAAAAAATAAGAAAGAAATGGGTTTTTGGTTTTTTTTTTTCCTGAGAAATCTGGAGTCCTGGATTCTTGTTCTTGTTCTTTTGCTTGATTGTGTGTCCTGAACCAAACTCTATGGGAAGATGTCATAAAGAATAATCACAGAAACCTCTCTTGATATAAAATCGTACTTCAGTTACAATTATGGTTAATAACATAAGTGTCCTCCATGATTTACATACCTCACATGTTAACTTGGGAACCTGGAGTTTATTTGAAATAAGTAAAAATTTTATTCCTTGTGGCATGAGACTTTAATGTCTTCCTTTTTCAATGGGGCTAATTATTACGATTTTTAAATATACATTTTACTCACAAATTAGCCTTTCTTTGACAGAAGAATGAGAGCACTTGAAATTCGGGGTTTGATAGTCTGCTGACATTCTAATGGTTTCCATATCCTGCTACATTTTGAGTACCCTTTAGGGTGGTACTCAAGTTTACAGCTAATTGAACTTGAAGAAATTTCTTAACATTTGCTCTTGGCCTCCTGTCTGCCTAAAATTTCATGTCAGTCCCTTGCCTTTAGAGTGGAGAACTGGGTGACTCATCTTTTTGACCACACCGATTCCTTGGCCATAAATGAGTTAGCAGAACAAATGTCTAGGCTATCCTGTGATAATAAAAGTTCTAATTTGATTTCAGGGAATGTCATGGGAGACACAAGTACATAAACTTTTTAGAGGTATAAACAATTTTGTCACCATCCTCAAAAAAAGGTGGGGGTGGGGACTTGTGTTAGAACGGCCACTTCACTCACACAGGAATGGACATGAGATTATCTGATGTATTCTGCCCTATTGGTTAGTGTGGTTCCAACCTGAGGATCGAGTCTGAGTGCAAAACAAAACAAAATAAAAAAACAAAAAAATCTTAGTTCCCACTATTAGATCTTTCTCATTAAAAGTGTTTTTTTAATCCATTTATTTGGCTTTTAATCTGAAATCAGAGAACTCGGTGAAACTAAAGATCTTCACGCTCTACAGTTACAAGAGTCCCTCTCAGTTTGGGGCCAGGCCCTACTCAGGACACAGGAGAAAAGCGATAGCAAGTCTGAGGCCTGTCAGGGAAGTATTTCTCATTCCACATCCGAGTGCTCTGATCCTTCTCTGGTCCAGTCACCCAGGGAACACTTTGCGTCCCCCACAACAAGGGGGCACGCCCCCACATTGCCCCGAGGCAGCTGCTGTTGTGGTCCAGAACCACCAGAGGCACTGTACGCACGCTAATTGTGTGTGTGTGTGTGCATTACCTGCATTATGATTTTTGCTCTTCTCTGATTCTATAGCACGACTGCCATGGACACACTCATCTCATACGTTACTTGGAAATGATGCAGAGAGGAGAATGACAGCTGTCAGAGGGGAGGAGTGTTGGGCGACTGGGAGAAATAGGTGAAAGGGTTAAACAAAAGAAAACCCATACATTTTTTAAAGGTCTTAGTTATTTATTTTTTAGAGAGAAGGGAAGGGAGGGAGAAAGAGAGGGATAGAAACTTCAGTGTGTGGTTGCCTCTCATGCACGCCCCCTACTGGGGACCTGGTCCACAACCCAGGCATGTGCCCTGACTGGGAATCAAACCAGTGACCCTTAGGTTTGCAGGACCCCGCTCAATCCACCGAGCTATATCAGCCAGGCAAACCCCACAAATTTATAGACACAGAAAACAGCATGGTGATCACCAGAGAGGAAGGTGGGTGGGGGCAGGTAGAAGACAGCAAAGTGGGGATAACGGGGGAAGGAAGGAGACTTGACTTAGGGTGGCGAACACACAGTCCAGTGCACAGGTGATATATTATAGAATTGTGCACCTGAAACCTATATAATTTTATTAACCAACATCACCCCGATAAATTCAATAAAAATTAAAAAAAATAAATACAATAAAATGAAGGAAAGAAACTAAATCTAAATCTAAGTTCTTCCTTCAAACCATTGATAAATTTTAAACCCTTTAAAAATATTTATTCCATTACCTCAAATATTTGTGGTTTAAAAAACAGGTTAGTGAATTCTCACATTCTAAAACTTCTAAGAGAAAAAATAAAACTTGGAAGTTATAATTCTAATAGTGAGTTCCTTACTGTCCATAAAAAGACTTTCTTAATCAACAGAATTCTGTTCTCTAAGACTGTGATTCGTGAAGGTTTATTTTACTATGGGGGAAAGTCAGCCGTTAAATTTTGGTTTCTGCTAACACTGCAAAGCCAATTAGACTTTAGCTTAATCAACTATATTGTCACAGCTGAATTCCAAGTGAAGTATCCTTATCATCTCTGATGAGAAATAAAAGAGAGAGAAAGTAGAATCTGATGATCAGATACCAGGTTGGATTTATAATCCAGTCGTTGGTAGCTATTGGCTATTATTTTTTTTTATCTTAAAAAGCACCTACATGAAAAGTCACAGGGAAGGAATAAATTCTGAACTCGAGAAAGTAAATCGCAGTCAAATTCATCCCAGCGACAGATGAGTAACAGACGCATCACAGTTTTACACACCAGCGGTATATATTAACCGACACAACGCATCTCCCATTCACCGCTCAGGAAGCTAACATTCCCTGTGTTTAGACAGAAGGAGGACTTTACCCGCACTGTATCCTCTCCCAAACCAGCATCTGCATTCAGTGTCAGTCAGGTACAGGACAGTGACTCAGGCAAATGTGGATGTCTTTCTCCCTTACATGCAGCACAAAGAAAAAACGTGATAGAAAGGGTGGGAATCATGTATTTCTTCAGAAAGTCCTAGGATATTAACAAAAACATGAAGGAACGCTATTGAAGCATACCAAACCTCACCATACGAATGGTCAGAGGTCAGGGGTTAGTGGAGAAATTGACAAAATGCTTTGCAAGCTGATTCTCTCACAGTATTAAATCAAAGGTGTCCTTTCCTGGATGGGTTCAATGCTTACACAATATCAACGTGTGGCTGTGATCTTAGAGCTGGCCTTGATATTACAAAATTCCTAGAAATAATCTATGATATAAATGTGCACATTAATGAACACACACCATGCACTTTTACGAGAGTCTTGGGTATGGTAACATCCAGAATTTAGTTCTATTTCCTACAAAAATTAGGTCGAAATTTTATTTGACATCTAATAATCTGTGGTTATTTTGGGACAAGTCTTCTCCCTGCCACTTACCCTGATCGGTTATCACCCCTAGAATTAGGTTTTCTATGCAGCGATTAAGTGTGTGCGGTTGAACTGTTTAAGCAATGTGAGCAACAGTAACAGCTAGTCAAAAAGTGATGCGAAATCAAGTGTTTCCACAGTTGGGTTTCTAACAATACCTCGGGGAGCTGGCGACGGGCCAGTTCATCAGATCATCGCAGCAGAAAGTCTTTTTTAAACACAGACATTTCATTGTTACTTAAGTCTACTTTCTGAATTTAGACATGTTGGAGAAGTTTTTACCATTGGAAGATTTTAATATTAAAAGTAAGTGTGATATTTTTACTACAAACATAATGCATGCTTATTGACAAGAAATTAAACAATACAGTAATATAAATATGGAAAGCGATTCCCAAACACAAGAGGTCACCAATGTTAATGAGTAAAAAGTTGGTGCATATCCTTCCAGATTTTATGCATTTAATTATCTAATTTATGAAATGATCCATGCATTATATGTGCATATATACATGTATGTATGTACACACACATATATACACACACAGAGGAGAATGTCATTTCATTTGGTTATGTTTCAAAATGTACAATGGTAGCATGAGTTTGGGTAATGAGATATTGATAATGTAGGGAAAACTGTATTTATAGCTGGTTAGTATGTTTTATTGACCTTCATGCACCAAGGTATTGGTCTTGACAGTGGAGAAACCACAGAAGCGCCTGGGATGTCTTTTTGGTGAAGGGAGGGAGTCTTTTCCCACAAACTGAAGCTACGCAGCAAAGCCGGTGTCATTCAGACATTTAATATTTTTTTATCATTTTAATTTTTCAATTACAGTTGGCATAAAATATTCTATGTGTTGCAGGTGTACGCCCCAGTGATTAGACATTCAATATTTAAGAAGGGTCCAGAATCAGCGTTTGAATGACGCCTCCCTATTTGTAAGTGCCAAGCAGCCGACTTTGCATTTGGCATTAAGTAGAGGTGACTATCTAGTGCCCACAGGTACGTTTTATTCAGTCACGTGTATCTCTAAACTTGAATAGTGTCAACTATAAGACCAAATGGAACATAATGTCTGAAAAATTAAATTTATTTTCCATCACATAATTTGCCTGTAAATTACTTCACTAAGTATCAGCAAGGAAGTTTATTTCTCAAAAGCCAGATTCTCCAGAAAGCAAGTTGAGTAGTGCTCAATGAACAGAGAGCAAATGTTTAAGAAAAACGAAGAAATGTTAATGGTGCCTTACAATCCAAAGATACATGTATCACTCTATGCTGCCAAAAACCTATACTAAACATAGAAGGAAGGAAGGAAGGAAGGAAGGAAGGAAGGAAGGAAGGAAGGAAGGAAGGAAGGAAGGAAGGAAGGAAGGAAGGAAGGAAGGGCAATACCATAAATCTTAGCTTCACTCACTGAGATTTTGGATATAAGAAGATTTTCTACCCTGGCTGTTGTAGTTCAGTGGATTGAGCATGGGCTGCGAACCAAAGTGTCGCAGGTTCGATTCCCAATCAGGGCACATGCCTGGGTTGCAGGCCATGGCCCCCAGCAACCGCACATTGATGTTTCTCTCTCTCTTTCTCTCTCCCTCCCTTCCCTCTCTAAAAATAAATAAATAAAATCTTAAAAGAAGGTTTTCTAAAAAGGAAGTACATGTATTTTAAAAAGTACTACCAAAGAACAGTACAGCTGACCCTTCATTACTAGCAGACTCTGTACC